GCTTGGAAAAAAATGTTTCACTGCCCCACCCTTCGATGTGCTGCTGATTTTTTCATGCAGGTTTATACTTTTAATATATAATGCCACTGCACAATACTTCTAATTGATTCTTTTAACTTTTGAATGAAGGCATACCCTTCTGTGTGTCTTATTTCGGCAAGCTTGACTGTTGTAAGTAGAAGTGTGTCCCCTTGCATTAAGACTCTCGTGGGTCCTGTTTATTAGCTAGACTTGGTGCGTGTGTGTATAGAATCTGAGCCCTAAGAGTTTGGTGACTGCTCCTTTCTTTGCCTGGCTGTTTTGTCCTGTGAGCTGTGCTTCCTTTCAGCAGATCCTCTTTGTTTTGTCACACCTGCTACCGTCTGTGGTTCCAATAGGCAGTTTTCCCCTCCCCCTCCATTTCCCCTTTAAAGCTGTCTGGTTTAGATTTTCTAATGTAAATCTTTTTTTTTTACCAGATTTCATTAGGCATGCTCCCTCTCTGGCCAAGAGCATATCACTTCTTTTGTGGCGCAGAGATCAAGATCCCATCCCCAAATATGCCTTCTGAGTGAGCCAAATCATGCGTCTCTCCTTTAGCCCTTCCCAGCAGCGGTGATGAAGACCCCAGCCGCTCCACTGAGGGCTTTACTTTGCCACCCAGGACATCTTCATCCCTAGCAAGGCTTCTCGGTTCTTTGTGGAAGGAGCATTTGTCTCATAATGGGCTAGCAGGGTTAACCCTTCTACTAGCAGCGCAATAACAGATTTCAGACTGCTTATACCAGTCTTAGAAGCAAAGTCCTGAGAGATTTGGGAAATCCAAGTCCCAGCTAAAATCCCACCTTCCACAGAAACCCTTTCCTGCTCCCTGCTGATTATCTCCACTTTGTACTGTCTAGAGCTTGTTTGTACATGTAACCTGTAGGGAGTATTTGTAAATGTGCATCTTTAGTTTTTTTATTAAGAAACTGTCATCCTGCTGTACAAACACCACCATCCAAACTAACCAACTGTTATATTTGCTCTTTTTTTTTTTCTTGAGGCAGCGAGGGGGTGCAGTACAGAGAGCACCAGGAAGACCCAGGTTCAGATCTGGTCTCAGACACTAGCTGTGTGACCCTGGGCAAGTCACTTAACCCTTTGTCTGTTGAAAGGGGATTATGATAGCACCCATCTCCAGGCTTGTTTTGAGACTCAAATGAGATCATTTTAGAACGTGCTTTGCAAACCTTAAAGTGCTATATAAATGCTAGTTATGATTGTTATCATCGTCAATAATGTCACATCTTACATACGTGCTAGGGAGACAGCACACCACCTATCTGCACCTGTGGCCAGCACCGGGCAGCCTTTCTCCTGGCAGCCCCTGTGGCTTCCTACCATCCTCTGGGGGAAGGGATCCAGAGGCAGCAGAGAGGAGTCAGGATAGAGCAGGATGTAGGACTTGAGAGAGTGCTGCTCGAATCTCATTGCTGACCTCCAGCTTTGTTTACCTGACCTCAGCTGCACTTTCCTCATCTATGAAATGGAAATTATAACACTGGCTCCCCTACCTCTCAGAGTGGTGGGACTTGGAAAGGAACGATGCTAAGAAATGTTTTCATTGAATTGAACCCCTCCCAGAAGAAGTTTTATACATCACTGTAAAGAAAAAGAAAAAAAAACAAGCTTCTCCCTTCCTATAGAGCCCAGCCTCTGCCTCATCTCTCTTACGTAGCTCCCAGGAGTCACAGTCCTTTTTACCTTCCTTCTTGGGGTCTTCTTATCCCAGTCCCCTCTCTTCCCTCCCCCCTCAGGTTAGCATTCCCTGATGCGTCAGATTATATTTCTTCAGCGTTTTGCCTTTAACACTCTTGTTTGATTTTTTTTTCCAAAAAAAAAAAATACTTATTCTCACTCATGTCATAGAAAGGTGATCTTCCATCTCTTTGAACTTCTGTAATAGGGAGGCTGCCCTGTTTGTATGTGAACATAATTGGTACTTGACACTAGATGCAGAAACACAAATGCATGGTACATTCTGTGCAGGTCACTGGAAAATTCCCTCTGCCTTCTCTCCTTGCTGCTGGCTCTTGGGCCAGACTCCCTTGGCTGGTGGCTGCTTGCATCACCAGTGAAGGCCCCTGGGGAGGTTTGGTGAGGAGGCTGGAGGCTTTGGCTGCTCTGGACATTGGTCCACTCTGTATCTTTCTTAGCTGCACCTCGAGCCATAGTTTACAGCCTCCTGCCAGCACCTTCAGGCAGGTGGAAGTAGCACCAAGGGGGCTTGGAGGTGGCCTCTTTCTCCTCTCTTCAGACAAATGGGACGCTGCTGCCGTCACAGCCTCTGCCCAGATCAGAATGGTTCCATTCTTACTCAGCAGATATACAAGTTGAAGCTAGTCTGTAGCCCAGGCAGTGGGTTTTGTGTGTCCTCATGCAGACCCCTCCTAATTCAGCAAGTCTCAGGAACCTCATTTGATGACACATCTGTTTCTGAGGGAAGAACCTTAGAGCACAAAGGGACCTCAAGAGGCCAACTCTTCCCATCCCTGCTGAACACGAAATGCACCTGCATCCTCCCGGAGGAGGGACCCTCCTGCCTCTGTGGGATGGGGCCCCCCGCCTCCGGAGGCTGCCAGGCTCTTTTGGGGCAGCTCAGAGCATTAGGAAGTTGTCCTTCACATTTCTGATCCGAGTCTCCCCCAATCTCGGTTTCCACCCCTTGCACCTGGTTCTGCCATCTTATATCAAACAGAACAAGGCTGTATTGCTGGGTCTTTGGTTGTGGTAAAATTGAGAATAACTTTGTGTTTAACAGATTCCACCATAAAAATGGTTTAAAAGTAGTGTTTTTTCCACTAAGATTTTACCAGAAGGAAGTGTGGACCTAAAACTGCTTTTTCAGAAAACTTTTCTGTGTAACTTTACCAAACTCTACGCTGGGGTCTCTTTTTTACAGGTTACGAAGCTCATGAAGAACTACAGGTCTCATTCCACATTGCTGTCATTGCCTTCTAAACTCTTTTACTATAAAGAACTAGAATTCTGTGCTGATATTGAAGTGGTCAACTCCTTGTTGGGTTGGGAAAAATTACCCAAGAAAGGCTTCCCTCTGATTTTCCATGGCATGAGGGTAAGTTTAAAAAAAAAAAAAAAAAAGAGATTTCTAACCTACAGCGAGAGTACTAAGGGGGCATAGGGGAAGGAAGCTGGATTTTGCTGCAGTGTCTTTATGTGTGTGATGACATTCAGCTAAGCAAAATTTACTTCAACAGATACGTTAACTTCACTCTGTGTGCATAGCCTCGTATTTACATGTTCATGCCCTGCACGTAGCAGGTACAGACTTTGGAAACCAAAGTCAGCCCTCCCGCAAAGTGCTGGTTGTGGTTGCCGTGGTAGTGGTGGTCATAGCAGGTGTTCCAGCAGAGGCCAGTAATCCTCTGCCCCTCCACTCTAGGATGTCATGGAAGGGTTTCCTACATGCAACTCAGTGACCTCCAGGACCCATTCTGACTTAAGACTTTACTGTGCTGTGAGTTTTGAAAGACAAGACGAGACTAGATTGTACTCCAGAAATGATTTATTAAGCACCTACTGTGTACTAGACACAGGGCTAGGCACAATTCTCCAGAAAGACAAACTGAAAAAATAGTCCCTACCCTCAGAGATCTTACATTATTCGCAGGGAATAAGTCATGTATATACAGGTTAAGTGTGTCTATGGTTGTTTGAGAGAGGAAGAAGTAAAAGCCACTTGTTCTTAAACCCATTTATGGATAGGGAAACTGAGGCTAAGAAGTTTTGACTTGTCTAATGTCAAAAAGCTGGCAAGGCTGAGTCTTGAATGAAGCCAGGGATCCTGAGGGATAGTGTCAAGGAAGGGGAACATTCCAAGGCATGAGAACCACCTGGGCAAAGAAGCTCTCAGAAGCAACTGTTGTGGAGAAGGTCCTCGCCTCCTCCACCCCTCCCACCACCACCTGCCGCTGCTGGGGCAAGCCGGCCAGCCTAAGCCTCCTGAAGGAGAGTCAGGAGGCCACCTCCCCTACCACACCTTACCTCAGACGTGGTGGCTGGCCCAGGATCCTGAGCCTGAGACCCCCAGAAAAAAACAGTACCCTTCACACCCACTTCCAGCTCAGCCCTTGCAGCCATCGGTGAGGTGGAGAAAGGGCTCACCAACTCTACCCACTGCATTCAGCCCCGACCTCAAGGGCTCCTCATTCTCCAAAGTCCAGGCCCGCAGCCCCTTCAGGCTCAGGATCTCTTCTGCAGCAACAGATGGTGGCTGTGACGGCTGGATCCCTGCGGTTAGATTCCCCCCATGAAGCTGCTGGAGTGAGCATAGTCACCAGATAAGCGTGGAAGAAAGGGAAGGTGGGCCAGGGCAGGCGGTGGAGTGATAGAACAGAAGCGGGTTGGGAAACAACTGGTCTGGCTGCCATGGCCGACGTGTTCTAGGGACAGTCTGAACCGCTGCCTGGGGCTTATCAGCACCGAGAAGGCCTGGGCTTGGTCAGTGCCCGCAGCTCCACAGACCAAGGATGCAGGGGGCACGCTTCAGCCAGGAGACCATCCTGCAAACCTTTGAGAAAACGTTGCATGTTTTTCTATGTGAGTGTTTGACTCTTATCTAAAGACCCCATAGAAAGAGATAGGCGGGGTCCTCGAGGTATTTCAGAGCATGGGTTACGCTGTCCTTCATGAGTCTTCTCTCTTTCCACTCTTACCTTTAATTTAGGGCAGTGAAACACGCGAAGGAAGAAGTCCTTCCTGGTTCAATCCAGCCGAAGCAGTTCAGGTCATGCGCTATTGCTGCCTCCTCACGAAACACATCTCCAGCGTCGTGTCGGTGACGGACATTGGTGTGATCACCCCCTACAGGAAGCAGGTACGAGCTGCCTCTCCCTGGGCCTCACGGAGGAGGACCCTCTCACAGTCCTCGTCCTCGGCCTCCATCAGTTCAGCCCTGCAGAAAGCAGTCAGTTTTCCGTCCTTGGTGCCGTTCCCTTGCGCTTTCTCCAGGTCCCCGCCTGAGCATTCATCTCCCCTCCAGCACCTGTTGGCCCTGTGTCGCTGACGTCTTCGCTCCTTTGCTCCGTGTCAGCCATGTGTAGGGATGGTCACACGCTAGATCTGGCCGTTACTCCCAAGTCGTTCGCTTTTCTAATGAGAACGAGACCCAGTGTGAGCGCAGCTTCCTGTCCTTCTGCCTCTCCCTCAGCTTCCCTTTCTTGGAGACCTTCAGCCCCTGAATCCTCAGGGCCTCCTTGGGCCGCTACCCCTGCTGTGGCTGCCCTCTCCTCCCTCTTCAGCCATTTCAGCTCTGCACTGACCTCAGCCCCACACCGCTCCTACCCTCCCCCTCCCGTGCCCCTGCCTGTGAGCTGCCGAACACGCAGCCACAGAGCTCCTGCAGCTGTGCTGACCGGCGTGTTGCAGATTCGTGTTGTCTGACCTCGTCCTTTTGCTGTGACATATTCCCTACCTCCATCCGTGTGGCAGCTTTCCGGATCTTCTTTTCCTTCCCGTGCCCTTTTCTCCTGCCTTCCCTCTCAAAGCTGAAGACCTTGTCTCTGTTGAAAAAATTGAGGCCATTGGGTGTGAGCTGCCTCTTCCCTCGTTTTCTTCATCCCCAAAACACTGAGATCTCCCACTCTTTCATCCAGAAGAGGGGGCCCTTCCTCCCAGAGCTAGCCCCCCTTGTTTTCTCTTAACAGATTGTATTCTCACTCATTTCACCCCCTCTCTCACCTTCAGATTCTCTTATCAGTCAGTTCCTTCCCTGTTACCTTCAGCTGTCATTCAGTTGTTCAGTCCTGACTCTTCATGACCCCATTTGGGGTTTTCTTGGCAAAGATACCGGAGTGCTTTGTTGTTCCCTTCTCCGACCCGTTTTACAAATGGGGAAACTGAGGCAAACAGAGAGAAGTGACTTGCCTAGGGTTACACAGCTAGTGTCTGAGGTCAGATTTGAACTCGGGTCATCCTGACTGCAGGCCTAGCGCTGTATGCACTGCACCACCTAGCTGCCCTAACAATTGCCGTGAGACAAGTCTACATCTGCATCATCCTTCAAAAACTTTGGCTGGACCCTTCCATCCCTTCAAAGCTCAGTCCTCTATCTCTCCTCCCTTTCTTAGCCAAATGCCCTGGGGAAAGTTGCCTCCTCTTCTTCCAGATCTGCCTTCTGACCCCATCACTCTACTGAAGCTACTCTCGCCAAAGTCACCAACAATTCCCTAATTACTAGATCTGATGGTCTCTTCTTAGTCAACCTCGTCGTCGACCTTTCTGCTGCGTTGGACCCTGGGGACCGCCCTCTCTTCCGGAACCCTGCTTGTTCTCTGGCCTTCCATGACACTCCTCTCTCCTGACGGCTCTTTGTCTCCTATTGCTGTGGTCTTCCCCAGGCTTCTGTCCTGGACTCTCTTCTCCCTTTGTCCCCCTTCTCTCAGCAGCCTCATCAGCTCCTGGGGGTTTAGGTATCACCCCTGGCAGATAGTTCACATCTGTGTATCCAGCCCAGTCCTTCTCTGAAGCTTCAGTCCTGTATCTCAAAGTGGATGTTCCAAAGACTTGGTGAACTCAACATGTCTAAAATGAAACTTAGTATCTTTTCCCCTAAACATTCCCCTCTTCTGTTTCTGCAGAGGAACTACCATCTCCCTGGTGTCTTAGACAGATGGTCTCTTCACTCTCCCTCACCCACAGATCCAGCCCATTGTCACAGCATGCCATCCCTAGCACCCCTTCTCTCAGCTCACACAACTACCACCTCCTGACTGCCCCATCTCTCAACACACTGATGCCAAGTGGTTTTCTTTGAGCATCGATGTGACTGTCTGACTTTCCTACTCATCCAGCTTCCTATTAATTACCTTTAGGATAAAAATATAAACTCCTCTACTGCCTGACCCCAGCTTCTCTGTCCAGCCCGCAAGGACGTTGCTTGCATACACACACACACACACACACACACACACACACACGTACTCACGTACATCCTCACACACACACACACACGTACTCACGCACATCCTCACACACACACACGTACTCACGCACATCCTCACACACACTTTGGATCCAGCCCAAACTGGCCTTCTGTCTTCCTCACTCACATCATTCCATCTCCTTTCTCAGTGCCTCATGCCTGGAATGCATCCTTCCTTAGTTCCACCTCAGAATCCCCCTCTTCTCCTAAGATGCAACTCAGATAACCATCTTCTGCATGAAGCCTTTCCTGATCTCAACCCCAAGTGCCCTTCTTACCAATCTACCAAGTAGTTAACTACTTTGTATATAATATAAATATATGTACTAATTTTATATTTAGGCAGTGCATATGTACATGATGCCTAACAGCCTATGTCTATCCCCCCTTGACTACTAAAATTAAAACTTGCCAATCCCTGATGCCTTTTTCTTTATTTACCTCTCACAACCCCTTAAAATCAATCAACTGCCCCCCCACTCTGTTAGAACTACTTTCTCTTAATGCTTTTGATGCAATGCATTGACCTTTTTTTGTGTTCTCAGCCACTCTGATCCCTGCTACTTTTGATACTACCAATCGCCTGCTCTGTAGGAGCTCTTCTCAGCTTAAGGGAGACCACACTCTTCCTGATTCTCCTCCTCTTACATGTCTAACAGGACGTGCTCATCCTTTTCTTGAGCCCTTACTGAAATCATTCATTCCCCAACAGGTCCCCTTCTTGGCCATGTTCTCTAGGTATATTCTTTCTTATTCCCTATCATGGCTTAAACCACTGCCTCTTTGTGGATAATCCCTACATTTGTATCATTCATCCCCATCTGCTCTTTGAGCTCCAAACTCTTATCTCCAGCTGCTGTTAAGAGACCACCATGGCCCTCTAGCATTTTAAGCTCATCCTGTACTTTGTCACAGAAGGGAAAGGCAGTAGGAACCAGGAGCAGCCTGCTACAGAAGTCTGGATTTGTAAAATTGGGTGGTTTACCAAAAAGTGGAGACAGAGAAGGGTGGAGAGTGTAGCCAGTGGAAGCGCTATGATGCGGAGAGAGTGGAAATCATGATGAAAAGCAAAGAACGGGGTTAGGGGCCATAATGCAGAGAGAAAGAGAGAGTGGTGAAGGATTGTCTTCAGATAAAGGAATGTTAGAACGTGTGAGGACAAAAATGAAACACTTTTGAGTGTTGTGGACAAGATTTAGTCTCTTTGCCTAGGTGTAAGTTATGGGAATTGTACATATGGAGGAACTGGGAAGTTAGAGTATTTGAGAGGTCCTCAGCATGGATGTTGGAAGGCATGAACTGGGGAGGAGGAAAGACTGTGAGGCAAATACTGAACTCACCAAGGAAAGAGAGTGTCCAGGGGGTCAGTGAGTAACAATCACCAGGTTCTGGACAGTGTGATAATTGACTTTGGTCTTTACTTCTGGGTCTGTCCAACTTGGTGTTTCTCCTTCCTCTGATCAGAGCACAGAACAATGGGTACTTTCTCCACTTTGGGCCAGAGAGACCAGCTTTTTTCCATGTGTCAGCTAACTGCTCTGTCGTCCTCTTCAGCTGGAATGCTGTACAGACACAGAGCATGTGTTCTCACGAGCTCCTCCAATTCCTTTTTGTCTCCTTAAGGAGACACTAATCCAGGTTGGATTAGCTCTTTAAGAAGGCATGAGCACAAAGCTGGTCCAGAGTATGTCAGCCATTCTTACCTTGATGTTAAATGTGTGAAGGAGAAGTGCCCATCAAATGGGGAACCTTGTTAGTCACATGGAGGTGGTGAAGGACTCTGGACACATTCTCTACCCTTACAGCCCTTGACAGCCATCCCCCTTCTCTCAGGGAGCCCTCCTGAGTTGACTTCCTTTGCCTTCCCTTTATGCTTGCATTTCAGCATCACTCAGCCCGTCCTTGGTTGGGTATTTTCAAATAATTTTTGGTGCCTTGATGTTTGAGTGACAAAAATTGTAATTAACAAATGACTCAGGTCAGTGATAGAGCCCAAATTTTGATGCATCAGCCACAACTTGCTAGTGAGCTACCGCAGAGGCAAAATTTGAGTTCTTTTATTTGGGGGGGCAACCAAACGTTGATGTAATCATAGAAAACCAAGCACAAGGACCGCAACAGTATAAAATGGAAAGGGCAGCCACCCCAAAACAATCATAGGGAATGTTGCAGAATTACAGGTAACAAGCATGGCCTCATAAAAGAGGTAGGAGAAGACATCTCCCTCCACGACTTTTAAGAGGAAGAAGGTCTGTGGGTGTGGAATATTGCATACATTTTCAATTGCATACTTTTTCAACGTATAGATCAATTTTGCCAATTTTTTCTGTTTTTGTTCTTTAAAAACTTTCTTTATGGGCTGAATTTCTAGAAGGAAAAAAGAAATACAGAGAAATCATTTTGATAAAAACAAAAAAATCAAAAGAAATTACAGAGTAGATAAGAAAAGTAACTGTTAACAAGTTAACATGCAGGATCCTTCTAAGAAGTTTGAGCACTTTTTTCTTGGAAATAATTAGACTTGGCCTTTGCAGAGCTTATATCTAAACCCAGGAAGACGACCAGTCAGGAGCTGCCTGTGAAAGAGACCCCTGAATGAGAAAAGAGAGGCATTCTTCCCCCTTTTTCCCCAACAGTCATGGTGTCAAGCGGTGGAGCTACTTGCCTAGGAGAAACCCCATCCAGCAGTTGGGACTCAGTTCTAGAGTTGAGGGAGCAGACACAAGACTTCAGATTCAGATGCAGAAAAGTTGCTCAAGGGAACAGCGCACCTCAAGGAGCAATTGAACAAGATCCAGCTCCAGAAATAATGAAAGCTAGCCCTGGCAGTTGAGAGTAGAGCTGTAGGACGAGCAGCTGCTAAGAGCCTAGCTGAGCATCCTTCCCAGCAGAACCATTGTACTGAGCTAGGAAATCGTCCAGACTTCACTGCTAGGTGGTAGCTGAGCTAAGATGGTAAAATAGAGGCAGGAATTCCCTGAACTCTTCATCATTCACCTCCAAATAACTTTAGAATAGCTCCTCAAAACTAATTTGGGAGTGGCAAAGCCAACAAAAGGTCAGGGGTGAAACAAATTTCCAGCCTGAGACAACTTAGGAGGTCAGCAGAAAAGGCCTGTCACACAGGGTGGAGTTGGGTCCAGAGAGCAGTGCAGGCCTTGGAGGCAGCTGTCGCAGTTTCAGGAGCTCTTAGCCCACACATGGTAAGGGGATCGGACAGTTGGTCAGAAAGAGACGGGCTGGCACTGGGTTCGGGACCCTGTTACATTGCCCACGTGGAGTTCCAGATCACAGTTCTAGGGCAAAGAGGAGCATTGCCACTTGCAGCTGTAAGGGGATGAGGTCTCTTTCTGGGTAAAGACTAGATCATGAGTCAGAAGAGCAGTGAGTACACCTCTCCTTACATCATACCACCTTGGAAGCTCTGAAAACATACAGAAAACCCCTTCCACAGGAACTCGGTCTGAAACCAGTAACACCAAAAACCTTAAGTTTGGGACAGTGCTGCATTTCACCTGGGGAGCAGAGCCCAGCTTTAACATAAAGTTCAGAGTCAAGAAAGGGACTGGGAGAATTAGCAAACAACCACCAAAAAAAAGAACCTGACCATAAAAAGTTACTCTGGTGACTGGGAAGATCAAGGCACAAATTTAAAAGAAGACAGCAATGTGAAAACATCCTCGAAACCTCAAGGGAAAAAGCCCAATAAGAGTTCCTAGAAGAGCTCAAATAGAACTTTAAAAATCAAATAAGAGAGGTAGAGGAAAAGTTAGGAAAAGAAATGAGAGTGATATAAGAAAATTACGAAGGGAGTCGAATTTGGTAAAAGAGGCACAAAAAAATACTGAAAAAAAAGTTGGCCAAATGGTTAAAAGAAGAAAAAAGACACAAAAGTCCTCTAAAGAGAACTCCTTAAAAAGCAGAACTGGCCAAATGGGAAAAGAGATACAAAAACCCATTGAAGAAATTAATTCCTTAAAAATTATAATTGGCACTGACCCTGGAGTCGGAGGACCTGAGTTCAGACGGCCTCAGATACATGACACTTGTTAGTTGTGTGATTCTGGGCAAGTCACTTAACCCCAATTGCCTCACCAAAAGAAAAAATTACAGTTGGGCAAGTGGAAGCTGATGACTCCATGAGACATCAAGAAGCAATAAAACAAAGTCAAAAGAATGAAAAAAATTAAAGAAAATGTGAAATATCTCATTGGAAAAACAACTGACACAGAAAATAGATTGAGGAGAGATCATTTAAGAATTATTATACAACCTGAAAGCCATGCTCAAAAAAAGAGCCTAGACATCATATTTCAAGAAATTATATGACCTGAGACACATAACACTTACTAGCTGTGTGACCCTGGGCAAGTCATTTAACCCCATTGCCTAGCCAAAAAAAAAAAAATTATAGAGGAAAACGTTCCTGATATCCTAAAATCAGAGGGTAAAATAAAAATTGAGAGACACCTCCAATCACCTCCTGAAAGAGATCCCAAAATGAAAAATTTCAAGAATATTATAGCCAAATTTCAGATTTCCAGGTTAAGAAAAAATATTGCAAGCAACCAGAAATAAACAATTAAGATATCATGGTGCCAGTCAGAGTCACACAAGATTTACCAGTTTCCACATTAAAAGACCAGAGGACTTAGAATATGATATTCTGAAAGGCAAAGAAACTTGGATTACAACCAAGAATCACCTACCCAGCAAAACTGAGTATAAACTTTCACGGGGGGAAATTATCACACCAAAGAGGTGTGAAAGAAAGAGCTTTTACAGTGGAGAGGAAAATGGGGGGTAGGGGCGGAGCAGGCAACACTTTGAACCTTAATTCTCGTCAGAACTGGCTGAAAGAGAGAATAACGCTTATTTGGATATAGAAATCTGTCCTCCACTACAGGGAAGTAGGAAGGGAAAGGGAGAAGAGGCAGGAGCAAATGAAGAGGAGGGTAGATTGAGGGAGGCAGCGGTCAGAAGCAAAACATACTTTTGAGGAGGGACAGGGTAAAAAGAGAGAAGTATAAATGGGAAAAAATAGGATGAAGAGAAATACACAGTAATCATACATGTGAATGTGACTGGGATGAACCCATCCATCACAATTATTATCATTTCCTTTTTACTAATGGGGAAACTGAGAGTGGCTTAGTGATTTGCCCAGGGTCACCCAGCTAGTGAGTGCCTGATGCCAGCTGACTCCAGGCCCAGGGCTCTCTCCAATGCGCCATCTAGCGACCTCTCAAATACACTGCTAATCACCCGAAGTGTCACGTCTTCCATGAACTCTTAGGGAGAAGGAAACAAACATTTAAGCACCTCCTATGTGGCAGGCATGTTACAAACATCTCATTTAAGCCTCACCAACCCTCTAGTCAGCCTCAGAACTTCTCCCTCTGACCTTAATGGTGATTTTGTGTGTGTGTTGGGGGGGCTTGCCAGGCTTCTACGATTGTGTTTGTTTGTGAAAGCCAAACACAAGACACGCTGAAAAGAGCGCACGTTTCAGAGCAGAAGCTCGAAGGCTCATTTCTGATGTGACCCGCGTCCAAGCGGCCGTCAAGGCAGGAAGAGGCTCCCATAGTGGTCCTCAGCCTGCCCTCGCCCCAGCTGGAAAGCAGTTTGGCAGAAGCTAAGCATAGACCAACATTTATACCATACACCAGGGTAGGGTCAAAATGGGTAAATAATTGAGACATAAAGGGTGATGCCATAAATTAGTGGAGCATGGAAAATTTTACCTGACAGATCTGTGGATAACGGAAGAATTTATGACTAAGCAAGAGATAAAGAACATTATGGGAAGCAAACTAGATAATCTTGATCACATTAAGTTCTAAAGGTTTTACACAAACACTACTAATGTGGCCAAGATGAGAAGAAAAGCAGGAAACTTTGTGGGCAGGGGATTAGAGCAAATTACTCTGATAAAGGCCTCATTTCTCAAATATGTAAGTTATGCTAAGTTAAATCGGTAAGATGACAAGTCATTTTCTAGTTGATAAATGTCAGTGGATATGAACAGGCAGTTTTGAGAAGCAGAAATTAAAGCTATCTCTGGTCACCTGAAAAAATGCTCCAAATTGCTATTGATTCGATCAAACAGTTCTGAAGTACCACCTCACACCTGTCAGATTGACTAATTAAGACAAAAATGACAAATGTTGGAAGGGATATGGAAAAATTTGGATGTTACTGCACTATTGGAGGAGTTGTGAACTGATCAAACTATTCTGGAGAGCAGTTTGGAATTGTTCTCAAAGGGCAATAAAACTGCATGCCCTTTGACCCAGAAAGACTTCTATTAGGTCTTTATCCCAAAGAGATTTTTTTTAAAATGACACCTATATGTACCAAAAAACATTCAGAGCAGCTTTTTTGTGGTGGCAAAAATTAGAAGTTGAAGGGATGTCTGTCAGTTGGGAAATGGTTGAACAAATTGTGATGTATGATTGTGATGGAATCCAATTGTGCTACGAGAAATGATGAGCAGGATGCTCTTGGAAAAACCTGGGAAGACTTCCATCAACTGATAGTTAGGTGAACAGGACCTGTAACAGTGATCAGCTGTGAATGATTTAGCTGTTCTCAGCAATACAGTAATCCAAGACTATCCAAGACTCATGATGGAAAATGCTGTCCAGCTGCAGAGAAAGAACTGATGGAGTCTGAATGCGGATAAAAGCATACTTTTTTAACTACATTTTTCTTGGGGTTTTTTTGGTCTATTTTCTTTGACAATATGGCTAATATGAAAATATGATTTACGTGACTGCACATGTATAATCTATACCAAACTGCCTTCTCAAGAAGGGAGGAAGGAATTTGAAACTCAAAATTTCAAAAAAAATAAATATTAAAAAATGTTTACATGTAATTAAATACTTAATAAATTAAAAATATACTGATGGGGAGAGGGGGAACCCTTAGTAACAGGCCAGGCCCTGCCTTACCAGAGTAGTCAGGAACCTTGGCCATGTGTTTCCTGCATGTGTGTTTAATTACTTTGTGCCCTTTTTTCTAGGGATACTCTATGTTATTAATGGGAAAATGTGCCCCAGGTTGGGGGGGAATCGGAGGATGCCAGTGAATGTTGTGCAGCCACCGTTACTACAGTGCTGCCTTAGTGAATTTAATGCCTTTGCTTTTAAAGTCTAATTGTTAATGAGGGGCACACAGGTTGGGGCTTGAGTGTTGAAAGTACAGACCTACAGGGTTACCCCTCGAATCTATGATAGTAATTCGCCCTCTGTTGACCCAAGGTTTCAGCATATGAACAGGTTGGGGGAGTTGGGTCTACAAAGAGAAACATGTTGAAGTCCTACCAAAAGTTACCAGGCAGATTCCAGGTGGTGGCCTGTTCTGGGGACTGCCTTCTGTGCTGTGTGATTATATCGGGCCAGCCAGAAGGTGGATACTTTCACATCTTTTCCTGGTTTTGTTCCTTTTTTAAGGTGGAGAAAATTAGAGTTCTTCTACGCAGTGTTGATCTGATGGATATAAAGGTTGGCTCCGTGGAGGAGTTTCAAGGACAAGAATACTTGGTTATCATCATCTCTACAGTAGGTATTACTGAGTTCAGGGGCAAATAACTGGACTTGGAAGTCAGCTTATTTCCAATCTTCCCTTAGCTAATTCCCGAGCACACTTAAGTTTTAACACCAGAGAGGCTGATCTTGACTCGGGAGGGAAGCTGGGCCTGGGATATCCAGCCATCATCACCATTGCCAAGCCAAGACGCACACCAAGAAGCGTAGGTAACAGCAGGAGGGGCATCTCAAACAAGGCCAGAGAAAAGGAAGGGCAGTCAGAAAGTCAGGGATAGCGCAAGGAGGGTAGAGAACGAAGGAGGTTAGACAAGCACTAACAGCAGCCCAGGTCAAGGGAAACAGGAGCCACCTGGGGAAGGCCCAGCAGTAGTGGAGGATGCAGGAGGGGGCCCAGAGTATCAGAAATGGAGAGAGAAGGATGCTCAAAACACAGTTAAACCCCGATTACCACAATCTACCACAGCCTGCCAGAAAATCTCAGGCCAGACTTGGAAATCCTATGCCATCTCCACAATTGGAGAAAACAAAGAACAGGTATTTAGAAGTGTTGGGAATGGGCTGAGGCAGAGGCTGGGGAGGGTTGGCCCAGTAAACAGGGCCCTGTGGCCACAAGGACCAAGCCCAGGTGTGAGGAATAGGTCTTCAGCAGGTGCTACCCACCCCCACCCATTCATCACCCTTCAGAGGGTGCAACTGTATCCTTTGCCATCCTTTAGGGTCAGACCACTACTGCCATCGTACCTCCCAAAACATCTCTACTAGTGCGGCCAAGTGTGTATGAGAGCATGAATGGGCCCTGGGTGTGGGGTCGGATCCGATCCCAAGTCACGGGCAGATTATTTCCAAATCCCTGGTCAGATGGGGATGAATCTCGGGGTGGTTCTCCTTGAACAAAGGATGTCCAGCCACTGCAGTGATGGGACAGGCCTGGTTGAGGCCTCCTCTGCTGTGGAGACAAGTCAGTCACCAAGGGTAACTGGGCGAGCAGATGCCTCCCTCTGGAGCGTGTCCTCTGTCCTTGGCTCCTAGGCTGCCTCACGGCAGTGTTAGCACAATCACCTGGCAGGTTCATCATGGTAAAGGTCCCTTCTGCTTGATAATGAAGACTTCTATCTAGAGCTGGCAGTTTGACGGTTCCTCCATGGCAGTAGGAGAAGTGTCTGTGGTAGGAATGTTGTCACCTGTCATTTTATTAGCCCTCCATGTTTTCACTGCCTGCTGTCATGGGCCATCACTAGGGCCTATGACATTCACCTCCCTCATTCATCTTCACTAAATTTGGCTTACATTCTAGGTACGATCAAATGAAGACAGGTTTGAGGATGACAGATTTTTTTTGGGCTTCTTGGCCAACTCAAAGAGATTTAATGTTGCCATCACCAGACCCAAGGCTTTGTTGATTGTGCTGGGCAATCCTCATGTTCTTGTCAAGGTGAGTTCCCAGGGTTTCCACTGCTGGTTTGGGAAGGTGCCGGGCCTGGCTGGGATACGCACTTTACCGGTCTGCGGCCTTGGCCCTTTGTACTGATGGGTGCACGTTAAGTCTCTGAGCTCTAGCACTAGAGTCAGCTGAATGGTGTTCAAATTCGATTTGTGTGGAAGATGAAACTCTGGTTAGCCAGCATTAAACCGTGGGTAATCTCAGTTTTAGCGATTAATGTTGGAAACCTTGCAACCCACTCTTGAATTCCATGAATTGTGTGAGCTTCCACTTAACTTTCAGAACACACAATTGTATTTTGAACCCCTGTTATTTGTCTTTCTAAATTTACAACAGGATCCTTGTTTCAGTGCTCTGCTGGAATACAGTGTAAGCAATGGGGCCTACATAGGCTGTGATTTACCTCCTGAACTACAGTCCCTACAAGGGTGAGCGTTACTTTTCCAGTTTTCTTTAAGAGTTCTGGGGCCTGGGGGCAGATAGGTGGCGCAGAGGATAGAGCACCGGCCCAAAAGTCAGGAGGACCTGAGTTAAAATCTGACCTCAGACACATAACACTTACTAGCTGTGTGACCTTGGGCAAGTCACTTAGTTCCGCTGCCTAACCAAAAAATAAAAGTTCTGGGACCAAACGGTTCCATGAGTAACCCGCACCCTCTGAGGCCGGTTTCTCCTCTAGAGTAGATGTACCCCAGAGGCACCTCATCCCCGTGGGCCCCCACGTAGCATGTCCCATCAGAATACAAGTGACCCAGTGTCTGCCCTCAGCAGACAAAGCCATTCTCTGTCACCCCGACGCAAGCTTGGCCTTGGGTCTGATTCTCTCTGCTAAATCTCACTCGGGACTTGACGGTCTTCCCTCCTTCCCTGAACTCGGTTCTCAGGCCTGAGCCTGGTGGGACATTTAACCTCCTCACAAGCAGTGCTAAGAGGAGCAGGGGAAGGGAGGGAGGCGCAAGGCAGGCAGAAGTTTAGGCGCCCTTCCTTGCAAGGTCTTGGGGGGCACCTGCTCCTCTCTCCGAGAAGCCTCGGCCACTGTTCTCTCTTGCCTTTTCTCCACCGGCCTCCTCAGTCAGGACTAGAGCCGAGACAGGCCTGTGCACGTTTTCTCCAGTGTCGCTGGGTCCAGGAGCTCCAGCGTGAGACGAATCATGAGTGTCTCCACCAGCCCCTGGCACACCGCTGCCGTTCCCCGCTTTGTTCCTGCTTCCCCTCGCCCACCCACCTTCCTACCCGTGTTCAGGCTTTTGGCTGGCACTTTGTAGTTCAAGCAGCTGGCGCGAGGGCAGCCTGAGGACCACTACAGGAGCCTCTTCCTGCCCCGATCTCCGCTTGGACGCGGGTCACGTCAGAAACGAGCCTTGGAGCTTCTGCTCTGAAACGTGCGCTCTTTTCAGAGTGTCTTGTGTTCGGCCTTCACAAATAAACACAATCATAGAAGCCTGGCACGCCCTCTTGTGCGTTCTGTCTTACCTTCTGCTGCCTTTGGGGGGAGCCTCCCCCACACACACACACACAAAATCACCATTAAGGTCAGCGGGAGAAGTTCTGAGGCTGGGGTGGGGGGGGGGGTGTGAGAGCGCACAGCAGAGTACTGACCTGGAGCCTGGGCACTGATGAGGTTGGTGACCTTCAGCTATAAGAGGAGGATGATAATAGCGCCTACCTCCCAGGATTGGTGAGGCTGAAATGAGATGTTTGTAATGTGCCTGGCACATAGTAGGTACTTATGTTTGTTTCCTTCTCCCTAAGAGTTCGTGGAAGAAGTGACATTTGAGGTGATTAGCAGTGTATTTGAGAGGTTGCTAGATGGCACATTGGAGAGAGCCCTGGGCCTGGAGTCAGCTGGCATCAGGCACTCACTAGCTGGGTGACCCTGGGCAAATCACTAAGCCGCTCTGCCTCAGTTTCCCCATTAGTAAAAAGGAAGTTATAATTGCCCATACTTCGCAGGGCTGTTGTGAAGATCAAACGAGATACTTATGAAGTGCTCTGCAAACCTTTTAAGGGCTAGAAATAATTATCATTATCTTACAAGTGGAGGGAATGTTATGAGACACCAGGACAAACCTGAGAAAATAAGCTACTTGGGGAAGAGCTCCCTGTTTGGTGAGACTTGCTGGGAAAACTGGAGAGGAGTTTAACAAATTCAGCAAAGATTTAACCAGCAGGTACTGTGTGCCAGGCCCTGCATGGAGTGCTTCCCAAGTATCTCCTGGGATCCCTACGACAATCCCAAGAAGTGGGCACTCCATTTCACAGATGAGAAACTGAGGCAGAGGTTAAGTGACTTGCCTAGGGTCATACAGCTAAGAAATATCTGAGGCCAGATTTGAACTCTGGTTTTCCTGACTCCATGCCCAAGGTTCTACTTGGTTGCCTGTGGTTTGGGTCCCTGAGTGCCCTTGTGGAGGCATTTCAGTAAAATCCGGGGGGGGTGGGGGGGATGCAGAAGGGGACGACAGAAAGTGCTTCCTAAGAACTCAGTCCAGGGGTGGAGATGGACAAGCTGGCATTGGCAGGGTCCAAGGGAGGGGTCCTAGGATTCAGGAGACTTGGGGTGAGAGGGGAGAGCCAAAAGGACAATGGGTGGAAGAAGGTCCTAGAGGTGGACTTGGTGAGGCCAGAGTGGTGAGAGGCATGGGCTGTTGGGGCAGAGTCGGTACCAGCTTCTGGTCCAGATGGGCCATAGCAGGGCAGCAAGTGGACTGACCTGGAGGCTGCACCCACCCACCTACCATCTAGGTCTCACTGAAGAGCTGTGGCCTGGCTTTGGCTCCCGACTTCTCCTCATGTCTTGCAAAGGCCAAGATACCCTCCCCGCATCAGGGGGTTCTCACGACCTTCCTTCCACAAGGTTCATCGGGGCACAGAGGTTGTCAGGGAGGAGATCTGGGTTCAGCCTGGCATCTCCCGGTCCAGGAGGCAGCCCCCATCTTGACTAAACTGCAGCATCAGGCTTCTGCTCTGGAGGAGGGCGTGGTGCTTGGGGATGCCCAGGCAGCCAGCTGGTCTTTACCTTTCTACCTCCAGGGTCTCTGCCCACGCCCAGCTGCCCCCTTAGATGACCCTCTCCAGAGGAGGCAGCATCCTCCTACGTGGTGTCCAGGTTCTGCCAGATCACGTGGCACCCCGACCCACCCAGTAGGTGGGTAGAAAATAAACTGTTGGGCCTTTAAAGCTCAGCATCTGGCCCCGGCCCAGAGGACATCTCTCCCCTCCCACACTGTGACCCAGCAGGCCTTTGCCCTGGCCATCCCCCATGCCTGCAATGCACTCCTTTTTTCTCTTCTCAGATGCAGCTTCTGCAGGAAGTCTTTCCTGATCCCCCACCACGAGGCAGCGCTTCCCCTCCCAAATGACTCTTAACAGCATTTGGCTTTATTCTGTGATATTTTTATACGTTCAATCTCCCCATTAGAACCTCCGTTCCTCGAGAGAAGGGAAATCTTCATTCTTTGTACTAGTCTCCCCACCGAGTTCCCCAGTGCATATTCCTGGCACATAGCGGGGGCTTAATAAATGCTTGACTGATCAAAAGAAAAACTTTATTTCCAAATCAGAGCTCCATTGTAGTAGCAGAGCCCGGCATTGCCAGACTCCTAAAGAGTGATTTCTCTCCCAGAAAGGCATTTATAAAAATAGGTCAATCTCCCTGCAAGACCTAGAGAAGCTGACCAATGGGAGAAGGCCGCCCCAGCCCCAGGGCAGCCCCAGGCCCAGCCTCCTACAGCCCGTCTGAGGTAAGGTTGTACAGCATTCTCAGCTCTTTCTTAGTAAACTGAAGCCTGGCCACATGCTACAGGGACACCAGCATCCAGGGTCAGGGCCTGAGTGAAACACACGGAGGCACCAACCTCACCCACGGCCGGCCCGCCCCAGCCCCAACCTCCTCACCCTCATCCGCCAGACCTGTGACGGGGAGCCAGCATGGAAGGCCAGGAGGCCCGCCCATCCTGGGTGCGAGGACACCGTGGGCTTCCCACAGCCTAGCCGGCCTCTGGGCTAGGACTAAGCAAAGCTTTCTTTGTGAATTCCTCCCTCATCGCAATTTAGACCCGGACTAAACACGTACACTGCCCACCATTCATTCCCAAGCACTTGTGTGCCCGTGCCACAAGAAACCAGAAAAAATCCCAAAACACAGTTCTCTGGCTGTGGAACCGCCATGAGCGGCCACTCCACATGGCTGCCGAGCATCTCTGAGTGACCTTTCCAGACTGAGCCACGGAGAGCAGGGCACGCGGGCGGGTGGGCAGGTGTGCGTGCTGGGCGCCCCTCACCGCGAGGCAGGCACATGGGGCGCCGCGTGTGCCTCCTGAACCTCCCGGACCATGAGGATTCGGGTGAGCATCTGTTCCATCAGCTCCGTGCCCACGGGCTGGCCCGAGTACCAGATGGGGCTGTTGGGGGCCACAACCAGCTCGGGGACCAGGTAGAAGGCATCACTGGGCCCTTTGGCGCTCTGCGGGCTAGAAGGCAAAGCACAGTCAGCACAGGGAGCTGGGGGCCCAGGCCCTGCCCATCAGGCCCATTGCCAGCCTCCGGCAGCTTACCATTTGAAGCGGTAGAAGTCATAGAGCTTGATGGGGCACTGCAAGGGGTTCTCGGGGTTCTCCAGCTGCTCTCCATACATCTCCTCTGTCAGTGAAAGGGGAGAGGGGAACCCCAAGGGTCAGTCAAGGAAGCCCTTCAGAGGACATCTGTGACGACACAGCCCCAGTCGCAGACACTGGGGAGTCATGAGGAGGCCGCGTGGTGGAAACTGAGGAGCTGGGTTCAAATCCTGCTCTGATCCAGACTAACCTTTGCACGTTACAAATGGGAAACCGAGATCAGTCATGTCCCTGTTTGGAACATGCAAAGCTTGGTCTGGATCAGGGCTGGTCCGAATCGGCTTTCAGGCAAAAGTCTGACAACTCCTGTTGGAAATGACCCAAGTCTCCCAGCTCCAGATCTGTCCAAGCCTACGAAGGCACACGTGTGTACGTAAGCTCCAAGTATGCTCCTTATCATCACTTGATAAGCCTCTGTAAACAGGTGAGCAGAAGGCGGGACAAATGTGTACTCCAGGCAACACTGGCCAATGAGGAGGCCTGTGCCCTGACCGGAGAGGTACCCTGCACCGCGAGCAGCCGGAACCCGCATCCAGGCCACCTGCCACCTGGCAGGGCCCCATGTCCTTCCGTGGGGAAGGGCCAGCCAGGAACATCCATGGACATGGTCCCAAGTGGGCACCTCGAGGCTGGGGGCCCCCAGAATCCCTAAGGGACACACACACAACACACACACACACAGACACACACACACGGTAAACTCCCATGGATAGCCTTGACTGCCTAACTTCAATCTGAAAAGTTGCCAGTGGTTTCCCCAATGACACCCCCCACCCATCCATCCATCCAAGGGCCTCCCCACCCGCCTATCCCCCACCCCCTGCACTGCTTTTGTCCCGTGGTCCCAGGGAGCAGGAAAAGAGTGGCCACAAGTGGGGCACCCCCTTGGGAAGATGCCACGTTAACAGGGTCCTAACCTTTCAGGCCGCCCAGGATCTGTCCGTACAGCCGAAGGAACCTCACTGTCGGGCTCTTGTCTTTGCCCACACCGGCATTCTTCCGGGTTTGCTTGAGCACTTTGGAGAAGGCCAGCTGGGAGTGCTGCTCCACCGTCTTTAAGATGAAGTATCTGCAGGGCCAGAGAAGCCGAGGTCACCGACACCCAGGGCAGACCAGCTGCTCTTCCCTTAGAGACAGACAGACAGACAGACAGACAGACACACACACACACACACACACACGCACACACACACACACCCCCCACCATGCCTGGCGCACACAGGAGGCCCTTCATAAGTGCTTGTGATCAAGGACAGAGCTATGTGAGGAAGGAGATGTTCAACATGATGTTAAACTGTCTTTAAAACGAAGAAACCAGGGTGAAAAGTGGCAGCGTCTCCGAGAGGTCTGGGAAGGGGGCCTGGGGTGCTCAGCTCTGGCCTCCCCGGGTCCAGGGCCAGATTCCCCCCTTCTTTGGGTGGACTGTCATCATTAAGCCTGTAGTCATCTCACTTCCACGTTCACGGTTGAAGACCCAAGATGTCATGAAGGCATCTGGGCACGTGTGGCTTTGACACTGACCTTAGGCTGGTCTCACTTCTCTGGCACTCATATTTATTGCCACCACACACCCACGGGACACAGAAAGGACTCCCCCACCTTGGCTCACTTGATTGGAATCATGACCCTTCAGACAGGAGCCTGGGCCTTCCCGAGGCCTCAGGGAGGGCCGATGGGAGCCCAGAGGTCCGAAGTTCATCACCAGGACCAAGTCACTGGGTCCAGAAGGGTTTTTATTGTAGCAAAGGACTGAAAAGAAGGGGGAATGTCCACCAACCAAGGTGGGGAGGGGGTCTGAACAAATTCTGAGATGTGAATGTTTATAAGGAATATCACTGCATAGTACAAACCGAGAAGCCTGGGAAGACTTGTAGGAATGGATGCAAAGCAAACAGAACCAGGAGAACAGCACATACAAGGACGATGCTATGGCGAAGACAAACCACTGATCTAAGACTTCAGAACTCTGACCCTGGCAATGACCGAGCACATGCACACACAAGCACACGCACCCCACTCCCACAGAAGTGACCGATTCAAAGTGCAGACACGGGCACCGGCCGGGTTTGTTTGTCTTGGCAGGGGTTATTTGTTGCGAGGGTGGAGAGAGGAGCTGAACAGAAAAAAGTGAGAGCCGCCAGAACATCTTAAAAGACGGGAGAAGGAAGGAAGTTCACAAGGAAACACCGACGAGCGAGACGCCTCGAAAGGAGCTCGTGGGATGTGGCATCTCCTTGAAAAGAAAGTCAGTCTCGGCAGAGGGGCGCCAGCCTCGGGGCGCAGGAGGAGACAAACACGGTGTGGACTTGGCCAGTGCAGGGATGGGCTTCATTTGAACGTGTGCATCTGTCAGAAGGCTTGGGTTTTTTCCCCCATGGAGAGTGGGGGTGGCGGACTAGATTTTTGTTCATTAAGAAAAATAAAATTCAGTTTAAAAAGAAAAATTCAGGTAAGCCACACAGAATAAAGATTTAGGGTTCCTCTGGGTGCTGCTTTATATATAGAAATGCTCATGCTTTTTGCAGTATTTGTTTAGAATAAAACAAATAAAAATTTAAAAAACAAGAACTATAAAGAACTATGGAGTCTGAATGCAGATGGAAACAGACTACTTTCTCTCCTTTTGTTTTATTTTTTCTTTCTCATGGTTCCTCCCATCAGTTCTAATTGTTCTTTACATCATGACGAATGGTAAAAGATGCTCAATACGAATGTATAAGTAGAGCCTGTATCAGATTGCATGTCGTCTGGGGGAGGGGGGGAGGAGAGGGGGAGAAAATTTAAAACTCAAAATATTATGGAAGTGAATGTTGAAAACTAAAAATAAATAAAGAAATTATTTTTTTAAAAAAAACTATTAGGCTGTAAGCTGCAAGTCGAGGCCATTATGAACTGCTCCACCTGTGGCCCTCTGAGACCATCTTTCCATCTCGTACTGGCGACAGCCTCAGCTGGGACTGTTCATTCTCTCCTCAAAGACAGAGACACATCACACATCACACATCTCACACACACACACGCACGCACGCACGCACGCGCGCGCGCATGTGCCCCCCCAGGCATTTCTGTCTCCCTCTCAACACCCTGCCCAGAACAGCTGCTCACAGAGTCGTCATTAACACTTTCCAGGGGAAGGATGACTCAGTCTTATGCGCCCTTAGCCAGGGGCTGCCAGGCTGTGTCCTTAGGGGCCACAAGGAGAAGATGCAAACGTAGAAAGCGGAGCAAGCCTCGACCTCTTCTCTCCAGGCTGCCAGTGCCCACTGGGGCTGCTGCCTCTGCAAGGACAGGCCACGGGGACCCAGGCACCCCAGTCCCAGGAGGGATGACAATAAGGGAGGCCAGGCCTCCCCCATTAGAATACTGTTGATTGTCTAGACTCAAAGTGATGAAGAAACTGTTAATAATGCAGATTAAACCTAAAAGCGTGACTGCATACATGTAGTCCCCCCAGAGGGCCAGCACTAGATAGCACCCGTGTACACGGAGGCTCTTTTGGAGTTCTCCGTGGGTTCCTGAGACCCAAACGTTTGAGAACCACAGGGTGAGATGACGTCGGGTCCCTTCCAGCTCTGATATCCTACGGCCTGAGTCGCTGATCGCATGAACGAGGGAGGGAACCACAAAACGACGGCAGGTTTTGCCCCAGAGGATAAAGCCCTGCAGGACGGCCTCGGAAAAGGCTCGTCCGCCCGCCCCGATGGCCAGAGGAGCCCCATGGCCAGGCTCTTACTTGGTGTTGAAGTACATCAGGGTAAAGAGAAGGGTACTCGGCGAATGAGCTCCCAGCTGCCGACAGTCCCAAAGCATCTGCTCCACGATGCAGCTGGACAGCACACGCCCTGCAAGAGAAGCCAGCCAGTGAGAGGGCAGCGGCAGCACGGCCCAGCCCTCAGCCCTGCCCCGCACGCCTGCCGCGGACACCCACCCAAGGGGCTGACTCGAGGACACCATCCTTTCATCACTCGGTGAAGCCTTTCCAAAAACTTCAGATAGTAAAGGTCCGTGAAGATGTTGTCAATCCGACTGTTGTCAAACATATGCTACAAAGTGAAGCGAAGAGAGCCCTTCCGGGGTCACCACAGACTTGCTTCACTAAGAAGATAAAACACTCATCCCTGTACCCAGCTGCCATGACACCCAGAGAAGGGTCCCTTGGGCCTGGCAAAGGGGCTCCCTCCCGCCCGCCATCAGGCTCCAGCCTCCCGCCCGCCAGGGACCCTGCAGGGTCTCCCGCCTCCACACACACTCATGGTGACCACCGCTCCCCGCTATCTACACACATATGGTGCTATTTAACCCAGGGGGAGCGTGTGTGTGAGGATAAATGTGACTCTGTGTTGAATGGGCACGCGTATGTGCGTGTGTGTGAGAGATCCAAGCCCTTTGTGGTCAGGGTCTGTGGTCACCCCAGGCTTCGGCCACATGGGATCAGCAAATCCTGCTGGACGTGAGGGTCCACTGAGGATGCTGAGCATGAGAAGGCACAGGACAGAGTGTGCAGGTGAGCCACACTGTAATTACCAACTCAGAAACCAGTTTCTTCTGACACGAGACCCCACAACACCAGAGAAACAGAGAACTCAACGGGAAGCCCCCAGGGGACTTGCAGTTAGAAGAGCGGACTTCCAAACCTGGCCTGGTCCCTCTGTCCCTGTGTGACCTAGCACCAATCCCTTCCCCCGGGCCTCAGTTTCTCCATCTGTACAACGAGGAGGTGGCCTCAGTGGCGTCTGAGGTCTCCCCAGCTCCCAATCAAGGATGGTGAGCGATCTTAGGACACTATGAACTGCCCCAATTTCTGCAGGAAGAAACTTTGCAAATCAGACTGGGCCAGGCCAGATACGCCTCATGACCCAAGCACACCAAATGCTTAGTCTTGGACTAAAAGAGCTTCCAGATCGACGTCCAGCACATCACGGGAGACCAGCAGAGGCTTCCTCCAGCCCGGGCAGCTCCATCTGGGGAGATGCTGTTTACAGAACATCCTCGGGGCACCGGGCAGACTGTCCAACACTCCCCTCTGCTGGCTCCCAGATGGCAGCCCGAGCCCACGCCACATGCAAACGTCTTCTCCCCAGTCCCGGCAGAGCAAACCATGGGGCAGAACACCAGCCATGAGCCAAGGAAGAAAGCAGCCACTCTAAAGTCTTACTTTCACCTGTGACAAAGAAAATCTTTTCATCAACTACCTGACAAGGGTTCAACATAACAGGGAACCAACCCAAAGCGTTCCCAATGGACAAACGGTCAAAGGATGTGAACAGACAGATGGCCGACAAGCATTTGAAAGAATGGCTAACGTAATATCAAACGATGATATAGCACCTACTGTGTGCCAGGAACTGTGCTAAGCACTTTCCAATTATGACCCCATTTGGTCCTCACAACAGCCCTGGGAGGGAGGTACTGTTATCATCCCCATTTTACAGAGGAGAAAACTGCGGCAGGCAGAGATGAAGCGACTTTGTCCAGAGGTCACCTATCTATAAGTATCTGAAACCAGACTTGAACTCAGGTCTTCCTGACTCCAGGCCTGGCGTTCCGTCCACTGGGACGCCCCCAAAACTGCTCCAAAAGACCACTGACAAGAGAAATGCACACACAGCTGAGGTTTTAGGGGCTAGTGCAGATTGGTGAGGTTGTGACCTGGCCATTCTGGAAGAGGAGCCCCACCCCTGAAGTGAGCTGGGCAGACTGAGGAGGGCAGAAAAGGAAACGAAGCAGACGCCCGAGGAGCGGAGGATGGCCAAACCAACCAGTGGGCCGTGAGAAAGAGAGGACACAGAAGAGCGTGTGAAACCCCAGACACACCTCTGCAGAAAGGAGTCAGCAGAACCAGGAAAACGCAGTCACCGAGAGGCCGCGGCGACCAGCCTGTCTCAAGTGGACGGCGGGAAATCAGAGTGAGGTAAGTGAAGGAACAGCTCCCCAGCCTTCGGTGGAGAAAGCGGGGAGCGGTGGGAGACGCCGAGAAAATGGGGCCGTGCTCAAGTTTTGATGAACGGGGATTTTTTCTTGTATTCTTTGCCATGAGGGATTGCTCCCTGCAAGGGGAACAAGAGGGCATATTAAAATACACGGGGAATGCAGAAACAAGTGATGTCACTTTTTTTTAAATTTAAAAAATCTGTTGTTTTTTTTTAAAAAACACCAAAAAGGATCCATATCTGTTACTCCAAATGGAAGTCATGCTTTATTCCGTGCTAATCCTTTGAAACAATGTTAAATACCGAAGGAATGAATGTTCCTGCTTCCACCCATCCGAGCTCATGTCTGGTGGTCCATCCTGCAGCCCAATGCCCACCAGAGTCATGTCTCAGAGCTCTGGAGGCATCACAGGGTGAGGACAGGTCAGAGGAAGGCCATCCGATAGGAAGCCCAAACCCCAGACGTCATCCAGACAGATCTACCCCACTTTCCAGAGGGCCTAAGGCCATGTAGTCAATAAAAATGTTATTTTCTAAAGACGAGAGGATCCCTCGTGACTCTAAACCCTGGTAGTGTGTTTGGGGAGTGTGTGCAGATGCAAACGGAACTTAATTGAATGCCTGTGGTACATCATATGCCATCGTTCTCCCAGGACCCAGGGCACAGCCGTCCCAAGAGGGCAGGGCTCTCTGACCCACAGAACGAAGACTTTCTAATTAAGAAATCATAGACTCGGAGTTGGAAGGGTCCTCAAGAAACCAACAAATCTCTCATTTATTTATGAAACCCCTACCATATGCCAGGCACTGGAGAAACAAAAGAGAATCAGATCCTGTCTCCCCCCCAAAGGAGGACAGGTGTCAATACCTGAGAGTCAAACCAGCAAGCATTGATAAGCCACCTACTGTGTGCCCTGGGCTAAGCGCTGAGGACACAGAGAGAGGTAACAGACACCTGTGCCCTTGAGGAGCTCCTAGTCTAACAGGGCCCTAGCATTACATGGGACCGGGGAAGGCTGCCAGCAGAAGGAGGGACTTTTGCTAAGACTCGAAGGCAGCCAGAAAGCACGGAGGAGGAGGAGGAGGAGGAGGAGGAGGAGGAGGAGGAGGAGGAGGAGGAGGAG